TGTAAATTTCCTACTGTAAATATATAAAAACTTAATATTTGATTAGTAATATGCATGGCTAAGAACTTAATTTGGACAACGTTAAAGGCATTTTTTCAGTATTTAGATTTTTTTGCACCCTCAGATTCAAGATTTTCAAATAGTTGTATCTCGGACAAATATTGTCCCTATACTTACAAACCATACATACATGGAAAGCTTATTTATTTATTTCAGATGATGTATAAATCTCTATTTTTAAAAAATGACCCTTATGACTGGTTTTGTGGTCCAGGGTCACATATACAGTATTGTTTTTGTAGCAAATATACAAAATGCATATTTCAGAATCATTTTCTAATATGTATTGCAATATTTTTACTAATATTATACAATATCTAATTAAAATGCTGCTGTTCATTATTATTATTATTATAATTCATAAATTTTTTTACAGCTTTTTTACATTAGTATTTTTTATAGTTTTTTGGTCATTGTAAATTAATCCGTTACAAATTTTAAAAACAATAATATACATAAATACACAGCATACATACATATATATTTTGTATTATTTTGTAAAAACAGAATCTATCTATCCATCCATCCAATAACATATAAATACTTTGTTTTGTAGGAATACAATAAGAATGCAGAATAATTTTCTAATATTTACCGCAATATTTTTGTAAACTTATATTAAATGCTGCTGTTCATCATCAAGTTTTTTTGGTAGTTATTGTAAATTAATTTGTAAACTGTTGCAAATATTATATACACAAAATATGAATAAAAAGTGGTAATTAAAGGCTTAATTTAGATTTTGGTAAATATGGCAAGTCAAAGTCTTTGGCTTTGATTCAGTAACTGGCTTTTATGGTAACAAGTTACAGTTTCAAAATATGTTCCCAACACTGACTATTACAATAAAATAGTTTTGATATTGAAGGTCATAGTCACTGTCCTCTGAATACGGGTGGAAGTCAGCTGTGAGTGAGTGCATACAAAATCTGTACCTTTCATTACTCCAAATGAGGAGTATTTCCATAGTGCTTAAATTTATAAGCATGACATATTGCCTCCCGCATTATCTCCTCTGAACACCTTGGGCTAAAAGACCAAACCAGGCCAATGAGGCCGCAGTAGGGAAATCTGGCAGAGGCTGAGGTGGAAGGAAAGCCTAGTTCATATCAAGCACCTTTTCAGCTGACTTGCTCATTTGGCTTTGAAAACGGTCTTTTAGGAGCATTTTGAAAATGACCCCAGCAGCCTACTGATGGCTCACTGAAAGCAGCAGAATTGGGCGAGTTGGTGTCTGCTGAGCTGGGCTCATATATCTGTGAGAAGATAGATGGCTTCCCTAAGGAGCTTAGAGTAAGAGGCCCAACAGCCAAACGGGGTGGAACTTTAATCAAAGCTGACTGCTGCGACTTGCAACTTTTCCGAAATAGAAATTAAGCCTTTAATCGCCACTTTTTTCATATTTTGTGTTTTGGCCCTGTAAAACCTAATCCCTGAGCGTTTGCGAGAGTGCTGTCATGCTTTGAAGGCCTCGCCGTCCGACGTTACTCATGTAAGTCACGTTCAAACGCAGGAGACGGGGTGGGATCAATAGGCGGATGGAAGATGCGCGCTGAGTGCAATGGACAGCGACCGTCTAAACATAATATTTGTCTTGGCTACTTTCTGCAGCTGTTTAGAAGTGAAGAGTGCGTGAAGAGGTGTTGATGAGGTTTTAAAAGAATGGCAGCTCATTAGCTTCTTGAAGTATAGCACACAAAGATTGAAGTACCTGCTCTTCAATCAATTAGCTGCTTGTAACAAAGCGTCTGAGAGCATCAACACTGAAAATCCAATTTTCAAAAAGATTTTTTACACACTGCCGTTAAAAAGTTTGAGGTCATAAGCTTTTTTTTATAGTTTTTGAAAGAAGCCTCCTACACTCTAAAAATGCTGGGTTGTTTCAATCGGTTGTTTCATCGGTGCAACTTTAATCAGTGTTTATTACCCTTTTTAGGAAATGAGGTTATTAATATGTGTGTAAGATATGTGAAGTTTAGTATTGAACGTAAGCTTGTTATAATTGTAGAATATTGAAATAAGTGAAAAGCTGTTATTTCAAACAGTATGTGTTGTACAACACTATATAGAAGTTATTAACAAAACCTGCAAATCTTAATTTCTCCACATAATAAATTGGAGCCTCTTGTTAATGTATGCATGCTCCGCCTTGCAAGAAGGCGATTGGGAGATCGCGTCATGGGACGGACTTATGCAGCGGATCAAAACCCAATACAGAACAGATTTGCTTGCTTGCTTTCGCCTGTCGCCGTGTTAAGAGCACTCCAACTTGTGCTCACACACTTACCATCAAAGCGATCGGTCACCTAAAACTCAAACACTTCAGTGAACCTTCGCGATCGTCAAAGAACTCTGAGTCTTGCAAACTCAGACTGTAGCAAAACTGCTCAAGCTTCTGGCGTCATCAAGAGACCAACCAATCCAACGAGGGGTGTCCCAAAAGGACGACAACCAAACGTCACATCAGTAACCAATCAGCAACGGGGTTCCCTCAGCAGCCATCCAGGAGCAACGACATCATCTCAGCTTTTCAGCTGTCAACCAAGCAGACCGCAAGTAAACGAACAAGATCTTATCTCTGCTGAACTGGTATCGAGCTACTTTAAGCAGTAAACAGTAATTAATTAGAAATCATTCTAATATGCTTGATGCTATGATTTGATGCACAGGAAACATCACTTGTTATGTATTATTGCATATTATATTGGATGTATTATATTGTAAATTACAATTTACAATGTTGCGCTGTTTATTTTTAATTTTTTGCAGAGTTCAAAAGTACTGCATTTACTTAAAATAGATTTTTTTGTAGCAATTTTATATATTACCTACTATTCACAGACTTTTGAACGATAATGTGGTTAGCTTAATTAAATGTACTTTTGCCATGAAGAAAATGAACCAGATGCAAATTGAAGTATAATCTTAAAGTATACATTATATGTGACCCTGGACCACAAAACCAGTCTTAAGTCGCTGGGGTATATTTTTAGCAATAGCCAAAAAAACTGTATGGGTCAAAATTATCGATTTTTCTTTTATGCCAAAAATCATTAGGCTATTAAGTAAAGATCATGTTCCATGAAGATATTTAGTAAATTTCCTACCATAAATATATCAAAACGTAATTTTGGATTAGTAATATGCATAGCTAAGAACTTCATTTGGACAACTTTAAAGGCGATTTTTTCAATATTTAGATTTTTTGCACCCTCAGATTCCAGATTTTCAAATAGTTGTATCTCAGCCATATGATGTACAAATCTCAATTTTAAAAAAATTGACCCTTATGACTGGTTTTGTGGTCCAGGGTCACATATATGTGAGAAAAAATAAGGTGTGCTTAGGTGAAAGCAACATAAATCTCCATGATGTTTTTTAATTCTATAAAAACAATTTCATCATAAGCATAACTGTAAACACAACTATAATCCCTATTACTTTCTAATGAGAACTACTCACAGTTATTGATAATAACTACATAATTAAATATTTAATTCATTTAAATAGCCCTAAACTTAATGTGTCTCTTCATTTCTTAATAATTCAGAATAAGAATAAATTCTGTTCAAAACACATAGAATACATTCTAAAAACACTTATTATTATTTAGCAGAAAGGAAAACATGAATCATATAAGCAAAATATGAACAAAACATTTACTCTGGGCCAAATGCAACTTTTTTCAGGACATGAGCATGTGCAAACCTATACAACTTTATTGCAGGAGAGCCTGCTGTTTGGCTTCACAATAACTGTAATATGCAATTCTGCAACTGTTGACTAGGAAACGGCAGACCTCATCTAAACGCGTGGAACAGTTTGAATCATCATCATCCACCATGAAGCTTACGTACAAACAAGGATTTCTCATTTTACTTGAGTCGGAAGAAGATTAAAAGTTTGAAGCCCTGAGCCCTGACGGCGTCTTTGCTCTCTCTCTCTCTCTCTTCAGGTTGTGGATTGGAAGTTCAAAGTTAGACAGGTTCAAAGCTTCAGAAGGGGAACATTCAAATAAGCCTCTGCAACGTAGATACAAACCCCAATCCAGACGTTTTGCATTAAAAGTACATTAAAGGGCATTTTAGACCCAGCATCTTATTTTAGGCCTAGCATAACTTTTTTAAACGGAACGAGTCAAGACTGTTACAGGTTCCATGCGGAATGTGTACAACAAGCATCTACGGCACAAGAGGTAAATATGGATAGAACATTCCAGTGAGTCATTCAAAACCGAGGTGATCCTCTCAGTCCGCCGGGATTCCTAGAGGAAATTAAATGTCGATCTGGATGCTGTAACCTTTGCATACTGCCAGCCTCTTTTCTGTTTCCCTGCAAGAAGACCTTGGGACAAAAGAGGAGCAACTTTCTCAGGTATCGACTTTCAGCAACACACAATGAACTTCGTCTAGCACAATCGAGGCAGTTTCAGCAGAGCCGCGTCGTTTTCTTCAAAAAACAGAAAGGGGCGAGCATCAATGATCGGAATTTCCTTTGTGCGAGCTGGTGTGAACAAAGAGGTCAACCGGGATACGAGATCACATGTGCCCTCTATGCATGCTATTATAATGCTGATGCAGAAGTCAATGGTGGCCTATTCATGGGAGCCAGATTACGACGGTGTAGAGGCCTCTACGCGGGCTCGTATTTACAAATCCACCCCATGAGAACTTAACAAGCACATAACTCTAGCGGCCTTAACCCGCTCTTCTCTTGTAACTCGACCTTCGCAGAGCAAGTGATGCAATGTGATGAAAAAACATAGTGGATGGCCTGAGGAGGAGTAAATTTACAGCAAATTTTCATTTTTGCTTGAACTATTCCTTTAATTAGACAATGCCTCATTTGCATATTAAAAAATTACATTACAGAAAACTTGTAACACTAAGAAAATTGCAACTCAAATGGGGAAGCATGGTTATATCTATGTGTGTCTTGCCTTAAGAATCAAGTTCAGGACTCACCTTGAGCTTGTCGAAGCGATCGCTAAGCGAGGTGACCTGATGCTCGCGGTGACGTCCCACCAGCTTGCAGAGAGCGCAGATCAGCTGGTCGTCCACCACACAGTACATGTTGACCTTCTCGTTCTCGTGCTCCAGGCAGGCCAGCCCACGCAGCTGAGCGTCCGCCACCGGCTCCACCAGACGATGGCTGGTGAAGGGCTTCTTATTGGGGTGCGTGGCCCGCAGACAGCGGTCGCAGTACGACACCTCGCACGTCACGCATGTCTTGACGGCCTCCCGTGGGGGCTCCTGATCACAGAACTGGCAGCCGACACGCTCTAGGGACATGGCGCTACTGGCGGGGCTGCCCCTCGTGCTCCCGCCGAGCGTGGCGCTGTAGGGTCGCGGCCGGCGACTCTCGTTGGGCGAGTTGGGCCCGCTGACGGAGGCCTTCTGGAAGCGGTCGATGATGTTCTGCAGCGTCACATTGCGCTTCAGGCCCTCCAGGCCGCGCTGGTTGAGCGTGATGACGTAGCGGCAGGTGGGGCACTGGAAGGCGGAGATGGACTCGAGAGGCTTGGTGCTGGAGCAGTGCGAGACCAGGATGCGGTGGGCGCAGTTGAAGCACAGGCTGTGGGCGCAGGGCAGCAGGAGGGGGTCCTCAAACAATTCCAGGCAGATTGGACACGTCAGCTCGGACTCCAGTGTTTCCATCTTCAGTTGAACCGATCTAAAGGTGACATCAAATCCCACAGAAGCTGGTCAGTCACCTGTGCGGCGGATAGCTACGGGTTAGTGGCAAGCAAAAAGCAGCAGAAAGAGAAATTCCGCTCAAAAACAAAAAGGTATTCAAAGCCAGTGGCCAAAGTATTTAAATCAGTTGAAACCATTTAAATCAGCATACTGATAACAATAAAATTAAAATCAAAACTACATATATACTGAAAAAGAAAAACTAAAAATAATATTTTATCATGAAATTATAGCCTATTTTTATAATATATTATATTATATTGCCATGAAAATAAAATAAAAAAACAATAAAATCAAAACAAATTATACTGAAGAAAAAAACTAGAGAAAATACATTTTTATTATTAATTATATTGGCTTTTTTATTTAAATTCCTATATTATATTATATTAATACTAACCTTAAATTCAAAACTAAATACACTGAAACAGAAAAAACTGAAACTAGAGAAAATAAACTTTTATCATGAAATGTATTTTGTTTGTAGAAAAATATATTATATCATATCATAATATAGCCATAAAATCACATTTTAAAAATCACTGAAACCTAAATAGAGCAGAAATTTTTATATTACATTATATTATATTACTACTATATTTCTTTTTCTTTTTTCATAACAGTTTTGGTTGTGTATTGTATATGTATGTATAAGAATTATGCTAACAAAGTGAAATTGAACACTGAACTAAGCTACATTTGTGATGACAAAAGCTAAATTAGAAAATAAATCAAACTAAAATAACCTTGATGACAACTGGAAAAAAAGGAGGAAAATATTGATTTTGAGCGGAAAATCACTAGAGTTGTAAGCAGTTTGGTTAATGACAGCACACACACATTCAAAGCATTATCTCTGGCTCAATAGTGGCAGCGTGTGTAAGCTAATAGTTTTACAAGGAGAACATTAATGTCAAAACATGATCAAGGATTGCCTTCAAGCTGCATTGTCATCGTGACAGACGGGGATTAAAGAAGACTTTACGTTCCATTCACTTCCATTCATACGCATATGCTCTGGGCTAGATGAACAGTGAACACACACACACACACACACACACACACCCTCTTGGGCGTCACAGAAGAAAATCAATATGATAAAGCACTGGTCAAACATAAATCATCACTCCCATTATAATCAATATAGCTGTCTGCACCGGAGGTGTCTATTTTAGAATGTGATACACCTTCAGCTTTGATGCTTCTTGTATAAACAGACATGCATGTGTACAGACAAACTTAAAAAAAAGACAATGCAAGAATGTGCAGGGAATATACATTAAACATACGAACAAGCTAAATATCTATAACTAAAATAGCAATTAAATAGCATTAAAGTAGGGGACTTAAAAGCAATTTCCTGGAGCAGGTTAATGTGAGACTTTCAGCAGTATTTTATTATTATTTATTACAATTTTATTGAAAAATTACCATTATTATTATTATTATTAATAATAATGAAACAAATAATAAATACATAATAATAAAAGAACAAAATAATATCTAGTATTAAATAAATAAATAAATAAATAAAAATGGTATTTTAATAATAATAATAATTTATTGTCATTATTAAATTAAGAAATAAAAACAAAATATTAATAATAAGACAACAACAACAACATTATTATTATTATTATTGTTGAAACAAATAATAAATACATAAATAAAAGAACAAAACAAATACATCATTAAATAAATAGTAAAATAAAATATTATTAATAATAATGTAATAATAACAATAATGATTATGTTTATTGTCATTATTAAATAAAGAAATAAAAACAAAATATGAATAATAAGACAACAAGAATAATAATAATAATTATTATTATTATTAGTTATTATTGAATCAAATAATAAATAAATAAAATAAAATAACAAAAAAATAAATAAACATTATTATTTAATATTTATAATAATATTAGTATTATTATAATATAATAATAATAATTATTATTATTATGCTTAATTTTTTTATTTCTCACTTTTCTCTCTATTTCTCCTTCTTGGGCATGTGTGCAGCCATGTGACTTCATATTGATTGTGGTAGACCGCTCGGTGGCTTTTAACGATTTCCATCTCTGATGTTACATACAAATCAATGCAGAACTCCAAGCACACGTAAAAGGCTATGATCACATTGCAGTCTATCACATTTCCCCGCACCTTCTGATCTAACAGCGACACCGTCCATCTCCGCCCTATCATTCCCACATTAGGTTTCAGCTCCATCCTCTTAAATGGCTATTGAGCGTGTCAGAATCTTCAAGACACACTGCTCTACTGGAGCAGCAAGTTACTGCCATTTCTGACAAGCAACCTGAAGCCCCTGACTGCTGCTTAAAATTATCTGACAGCTCCTGTGAGGAGCCAAAAGCTCTTGAAGTCTGCAGACATACTGAGATCTTGTACTAAACCTTTAACTCGACAGGCACTTATGACGGCGAGCCAAGAAGGGCATGTGATTAAAGCAGCAGTGGACCAGGTGGAAACTGGATGAAGTCATTACTGGAAAAATTAAATAACATGCAGATATATGGTAATAAGAGCTTGTGTCCTTGTGTAATAGTCACCTTGATGGATATCAGGAGGATTCTGTGTGAATAATAATCCTTGAAAGTTTGTGTTAAAGTTACCGCAATATTCCGGTACTGACAACAACAATGAAAATTGAAAAAATGTAATATTGATATCATGTTAATTCTATGTGATAATATTGTAAATAATCTGCTTGACACTCCAACACAGTAGGTGGCAGTATGGTACCTTAATGTTGGTTGACATCCTTCATGAAATAAAAAAGAAGACAACAGTGTACAGGTACAACATTAGATATGTATAGATGCCATATTCGACCGCTCCAGATACGTTGACGCGTCCGTAATTTTGGAACGGTCAACTTGCCGTCATTCACCATAATAATCAATGAATATTCAAAGATATACATGCATATAACTTGGTGTTGTAGACGCACACAGTCAACTTGCGCTTGAGTGTTCGCAGACCGTTCCAAAAATGGCGGATGGCTTACGTATCACGGCCCATAGAAACAGTCACTAATGAGGCATTTAGGATTATATATCTATTGGTACAACTGCCACTCAAAACTTGAAGATGACAGACGAAAGTGAGACACCTGGAGAAAGTTTCACCAGGTTGGGAGTTTTTGGATTCTGTAAAAAATACGGGCTCTTTGACACAACAGTAGAATCCATCAAAGAGCAAAAATCTCCATTCTTGAAATTCGTTTAGTTGGTATCCAAACACATGGATTACATGTTGAGATACTAGCAATTTCTTTTATTATTATAAAGTGCAAAAAAGTGCTCAGTGCATATTAAAAACAACAGACGTTTCGTTCTTGACACAACACTGAGTGAAAATCTGATATCATGACAGTTTGTGTTTGAAATTTGAGTCATTGCTTGGTCCTCATTGGCCAGTTAGAAACAATGTTCTTTAAAAAACATACCTCTAAAATTAATTGGACATTTATGTGAACAGTGTGATTTGTGCTCGTAAACTGGTACAAACTGCATCAATGCTATTCTCACGGGGACCTGATATGAATTGCAAAGCATTTTTAACTGCCAAAAAAGACAAAAGAAAATTGTGGAGACTGTGAAACAGAATTGAGGCAAATACTCAAACTCAGTCAAATAAAAAGAGATCAAATAAAGAAGCCTTTTAGACCTAGCATTAGGCTACATCTAAAAAACAGAGTGAGTGAACAGAACTGTTCTATAACTAACCATCTTGGAAAAGTTTGAATTGTTTCCCTTTAAAACACCGCTAGTTCCATTACAACCATCCAAACACAAGGGACTTATTACATTAGAAATAAGCAAAAGCTTGCCTGGCAATCTGGCAATTGTGCTAAAATAGAATCCAGTGGTAAGTGGTGACTTTAACCAGGTATCATATCTAATTTAAGACGACAATAAGTAACCATGGTAGGTGTTGATTTGAAAGTATGGCTGTTGGTAGGAATAACCATTAAGTGGCATTGCCTTCTCAAGAGACATACGAATGCTTATGCACACACACAAGGTTTGTCAAGCATGGGAAAAACCAACGGAACAATAAAAATCCTCAGAAATTTTAACTTTGATTAGTTAACGTGTACCTTCAACATACTTTGTATATGTTAAAAAATATTCTTTCAAAATGTGATTTCGGTGATTGAGACCTTTGACAGTTTTCAGCTTGGGCAAGCAATTCGCGGACCACTTTTCTTGCTCATGAAATCACCAACAGGCCAACAAACCAATGAAACCATGCAACAATAATGACGATTCTTAGCAATAGAGCGCAGGCGCCAAAGCTGTTGTGAATCCGTTGTTATGCAAACCCTCTGTAATAGGCACAGATTTGCAGAAAATTACCATCAGTTGGCAAATAAATTATATGTATTTGCAACATTTTAACATGAATGCTTTATGTTGTACCTCAAACAAGTCCCTGAACTCATTCTCTCAAATGGCTTGGGTATGCTGAGCATTCGCAGCTTATATGAACTAAACGGCCCTAGTAGAAATGGCGGGCTTAGTGAAGGTCGTGATGAGGTCAGCAATGGACTCCAGCATCCTCTGCAGATGGTCTGATGTTCTGAATGCAGATTTTGAGACATTTTAAAACATACAGAGAGAGTCAGGAGAGTAAGCCAGACGGTTTAGCACGTAAACGTCTACTTTAAGTGTGACAGACAGAAGAAGGATGTGATAGACTGGAGAAGCGGAGAAGCAAACGGTTTACTCCTTTCAAAGGAAGACACCACATATAATCTGATTATGATGAAGTGCTCCATATGGAGGCTGATCAGTCTGCTTTTGCTCACGAACAGCCCCTCTCAAGCACAAACACGCATGCACACGTTCTCAGAGCCGAGTCTGGTTTATTTGATCTGTTCTCGGCTTGATTAAGGCATTATTTTCCCCTTTGATGTAGACTCGGAATCAGAAAAAGACAAAAAGC